CGGGCGCGGTGGCGCACACCTGTAATCCCAACACTCAGGAAACTGAGGCAGGAAGATCACTGTGAGTTTGAGATCAGCCTGGACTGCATAATGCAGTGAGTTCCACGTAAGTCTCAACTACATAGTAAGACCCTGTCTCAAAACAAGAAAAACAAAAACAAAAAACTGCTCCTCAGCCTAATTCCCCGGGTTCACGCGTGGGCCAGATGCTTGGTGGCACCTCCTGCCTTCTCCCCAAAAGGCGTCACCCTCTCTGTATCGACAATAAATTCAACCCATGCCTCTGAACGGCCGAGTGTCCTGACGGAATTCTGTCATCAAGCACACAAAGGGCCAAGGACCAAGGAGGCGAGGGGCTGGCTCCCCACTGTGCCAGGACCCAGGCTTTCCTTAACAGAATGGCCCGGACCTGCAGGTGAGTGTACTGCGTGTGACTAGAGACGCAAGAAATCAAAACTAAAAGGCTGTAAAATTCTGCAAATCTCTTTTGTGTGCTGAGTTCACACTGAACTTGGACCTGCTGGGGACCAGGGCCAGACCTCGTGACAGAGGTGAATAGTCAGAGCAGTGAGATGCGGTTATTTTGTGTCTTCACTTCCGAGAGCTAATAGATTTTTTTAAAACTTTGAAAACTAAAACTAAAAACAAAAACAAAAACAAAAATTTTTGAAAACTAAAAATTATTTGTAAGTGTTGTTTCAGATTCAAGAAGTAATTCTATATTTGTAACTATGCTTCTACTACCTCTAGAGGCTTTGATTATCTAATCCCTTTATTTCAACCTGATTTTCATTGTGCTAATCTTAGTTCATAAGTAAAATGTATACGAAAGACTTGGTAGAGGCCAGGAATTTAACTCAGTGGTTCCGCCACCTGCCTCACAAGTGCAAGGTCCTGAGTGTGATCCCCAGTACTCCCCCAAAAAGAAAAAGAAAGACTTGCTTTGCCAAGGCGGGGTGGTGGCACACACCTGTAACCCCCCGCACTCAGTACTCAGGAGGCTGAGGCAGGAGGATTGTCATGAGTTTGAGGCCAGCCTCAGGTAACATAGGGAGACCCTGTCTCAAAACAAAAAGACATGGGTTGACATTTCTAGAAAGATATGAAAAGTTTCATATCTAACTTTGCTGATAGTTTCCCTACTTAATTTATACTTAATTCTCTCTAAACTGCCATTTTTCCTTCCTTTAATTTTTTTTTTTTTTTTTTTTTTTTTTTTTTTTTTTTTTTTTTTTGTTCCGGGGATTGAACTTGGGTCCTTGTGCTTGTGAGGCAGGCGGCAGAACCACTGAGCGAAATCCCCAGCCCTCCTTCCATTAATTTTAAACTGCCTCCCAATACATTTTGTGTATTATATTTCAATATAGCCAATACAATATACTAAGGCTTTAGTGGATTTCTTTTTTAAAGAAAGAGACCAATACAAAACAGAATCTGAGAAAGTCAAGTTGAATTTAGTTAAATGCCAGAACTGATTAGTTAGGGTAAGTCTTGGCTTTCTTTAGGAACTCTAGCATTTTTTGCAGCTAGCTTCGAACCTGAGCTTCTGAACTTATCTGCTATTGAGATAAAGTGGAGATGTCACAGGCTTTGACTTTATTGTATAGCAATTTATAACCAAGTTGATTTCCTGTAACAGCAACATGGAGTCCTGATCCCCTCAGAGAAGGTACACAATGAGCAGACAAGCAGAATGGATGGATGTGTGGATGGGTATTTTTTGCAGCTAGCTTCGAACCTGAGCTTCTGAACTTATCTGCTATTGAGATAAAGTGGAGATGTCACAGGCTTTGACTTTATTGTATAGCAATTTATAACCAAGTTGATTTCCTGTAACAGCAACATGGAGTCCTGATCCCCTCAGAGAAGGTACACAATGAGCAGACAAGCAGAATGGATGGATGTGTGGATGGGTGATGGGTAGATGAATGGATGGATGGGTGGCTGGCTAGCTGGATGGATGACACAGAAACCTGTTAAGGGGACGTCCCTGCTCAGGCAACCCTTTCCCTGTTGTTTCCCCAGAGGACATAGCATTGCCCTTGGGCTCCTCTTTTGTACCAGCCCTTGGAACTCCCAGAGGGGTCTCTGGGACGCAGAGCTGCTGTGGCCAGTGGAGGTCAAGGTCAATGTCCCCAAATCACCCCTGCACGGCAATGGCCCCAAGTTGGTCAGCAGCAGGGTTGGTCTGCACAGGTGCCCCTCCTGGGGACCTTCGCTGGGTGAGACCCCATGCTAGACCCAGGTGCCTTCTGCCCTTCAATGTGTAGCATCAGATCTCCACAGCTAACCTGCAAAGCTCCAGAACGAAGCCAGGCGTGGTGGAACACACCTGTAATCCCAGCACTCGGGGGCTGAGGCAGGAGGATCACTGTGAGTTCAAGACCAGCCTGGGCTACATAGTGAGTTCCAGGTCAGTCTCAACTATGTAGTGAGACCCTGTCTCAAAAAAAAAAAAAAAAACCAAAAAGCAAACAAACAAACAAAAAAACAAAGCTCCAGAATTATGTGATGGTGACACAGTTCATCGTCCCAGGATCTCTATTTAAAGCTTTCTAAAGAGAAAAGTAAGGAAATTACACAGATTGCAGAGACCAGAGTAAGGAGCTCGGAAAGAAAGAAAAACTCGAGAGCCAACAACAATGTAGCATAAACAGCTCGGCAAATAATAGTGCAGTTTCCCCGATAACAGAATGGTTTAACACCTGAACACAGCCACATGCCTGATTATACACCAACAACCCTGCAATGTGTCTTCACAAGAAACAGCATATTAGAGCTGGTGTGGTGGTGCACACCTGTAATCCCAACACTCAGGAGGCTGAGGCAGGAGGATCACCAGTAGTTCAAGGCCACTCTGAAGTACAAGGCAAGATCCCGTCTCAAAACAAAAAACAAAGCAAAAAGCGCTCAGAGAGGGATTGTTCCTGGGGAACCCGCTGACCTGAAGACGCACAGTGGGCTGAAGCACGCGGTCTCCTTGCCAGGACCTTTGGGACTTGGACAACCAGGGCAGTGTGAGCCCACAGGGCTCCCTCCTGTTCCTGGGCCAGAGGAAAGGAGGCCCGACAACCAGCTTCAACTCGAGCGGGAGGGGAGGAGGAGCCAACTGAGGCCAGAGAAGGCGGAAGAGGACCAAGGAGTCACCTGACCAGCGCCAGAGCCGCACCTGGAGGCGGAGACGGAAGTAGCGGGCGCAGACAGCGACTGCGCTGTGACAGGGTGGATGAGGATGCCCGGCCAGCTCCAGGGGCGGCCAGGCCAGGGCTCAGGACTCCCCAGCCCGGAACTCAGCCGCAGAGACCAACCCTGCCCCGTCCCCCCAGGGACGCCAGGGCTTAGGGTCCCCGGGTCAGGACCTGGTCCAGGGGCTGGGAGTGGGTGAGGCCTTGCGGGGTCTCTGGGTCAGGGTCGGTCGGAGGCCTGGAAGACCCGCTGCTTCCACTTCTGCCTCCGTCTCCCAGTGCCGCTCTGGCGCCGGTCAGGTGACTCCTTTGTCCTCTTCAGGCTTGAGGCTGGTTGTGGGGCCCCCTTTCCTCTGGTCCAGGGCTCACACAGTGCAGGTTAAATCCTGAACGCCAGGGAGCTGCCCCACACCAGCCTCAGAAGTCGCTGGCAGTCAGGATTTCCCTAAAATGCTGAGGAAGGATTTGGAAACTTTCTGCTCAAATGCTCTCCAAACCTAAAACTACTCTAAAAAGAAAATACTAATTTTTGATTCAGAGAAAAGAAAGCCTGGCCCAAGGGTGCCATTCCCAACCAGTGACTGCTGGCGGAAGGCAGTCGGTCTTCAGGGAAATTCTGGACTGCCTCTCTTCTGAGTCTCTCACTCCAGCGTCCTTCTAACATAGGGCGTGATGAAAAACACAGCAGTGTTCCAGTTTTAAAAAGAATTATTGCAGTGAGTGTTGAGAGGATACAGTGAATCCCGCTCAAAGTCCTCCCCTCCCTTAGGGGGCACTCATCCCTCCGTCCTCGCCACTTCCTGCAGCAGCTCTGGCGCCCTCTCTCCTCAGTGTCTTTAGTTGCTCTGTCCTGGCTGCCTTGATGTCCTGAGAGGATTCAAAACACTTGCCTTGGGGCCGGGGGTTTAGCTCAGCGGTTCCACCTGTCTTGAAAGCTCAAGGACCTGAGTTTAATCCCTGGTATCAAAAAGAAAAGAAAAAGAAAACATTTGTCTTTCCTGGTCATCTTGACTTAGGAAACAGCTGGAAGTCACACGGTGCCAGATTCAGTGACTAAGGTGGATGAGGACACAATGTCATGTTTTTAGGAGCTGCCTTTCTGTTGACTGGCACTTGGCAGCAGCAGTCACTGTATTTTTATCACCTCTCATACAGATACTCAGGAAAGAGGACTCCAGAGTTGCTCCAGAAAGTAGCAAAAACCATGGGATAAATGTGTTTGAAGTAAGGAGAACTATTTTGAGAGGGATTCATGGCAATGTGTATTTTTGTGTCTTTTACTATAACAAGTTTTTGTTGTTGTTTTGGAGACAACATCTGTCTTTGTACTTCAGGCTGGTCTTGAATTTTCTATGTAGCCCAGGCTGGCCTCAAACTCTCAGTGACCCTCCTGCCTCAGCCTCCCAAGTGCTGGGATTATACGTGACCCCCACAGCCAGCTTTTACTGTAAAAAGTTTTTTAAAACAAAAACATTCACTGTATAGTGTTCACCCCGTGTACGTCTCTGTCCACTGAAGGAGTCTTGCTAGGCTGTAGCCGAGTATGCCCAGAGTCCTCATCGCTGTCCTCTCCTTCAGGCCTCGGGTCCTAGGGCTGAGATGGACCCAGGACAGGTGATGGGACCAAGTTAGGAGGGTCTCATTCCCCTCCACACCCACTGAGAGGCACAACCCCTGCTCACTTCCTGTCCTGATATCACGGGTCCCTGACGTCACCCAACTCAATTCCTGCCCTGAAGTCACAGATTTCTGACGTCACCCTGCTCACTTCCTGTCCTGATGTCACAGGTCCCTGACATTCCACGTATCCTGGAGACCAAGAAGAAGATTTTCCTCCTTTGGTAGAGGGAACATGGCAGCAAATAGAGGAGTGGGGACCCTCTTCCTGGTCCTCCTGCTGTCCAGCTGGCCAGAGACCAACTTGCAGCCGATAAACACATCCTCAGGTAGAGTCCCACAAAGACCCACAGACAGAAACCATGGGCAGTGGCCTTCCCCTCCTCTTCCCACTGGGTGGACCATCTCCTCCTTGAAGGATGGAGGAAGGGGAAAGCTTTTCTCTTTGAAGCCCTTCTAAAGTTCATAACCCCACAGGAAAGCAGCGCACGTGATCTATTTTAGCTTTTTATTATGGGGAGTTTCTGACTCACCCTACGAAGAGGGTTACCATCACGAGTCTGCATGATTCCTCCCCCAGTTTCAGTAGTTGTGCACATTTCATGGTCTTGCTCTGCCTACTTGCTCACACACCTGTGCGCACACTTTCTTTTCATTTTGAGGAGCATTTTACTGCTGTCCCAGACTTCCTAGCACTTCATGTAAAATGTTTTCTTGTTCACAGATACAGGCATTGTCTGTATATATCCACAACATCATTATCACACTAACAAAATTAACAAAATCATTTACAGCAACTAACGGCGATTCAAGAAAAAATATCCCTAAAATTTAAGACAGCTGTCACGGTGGGATTTACTCCAGAATGGAGACGACGGGGACCTTTCACAGGCACCAGTGGAGGCAGACAGCAAGGGCCAGAGTGGGTGGCGGAGGACATTTCCTAGAGGTCCTTGTAACCGTCAGCTCTGCTGCTACTGTGACAAACACCCGACACTCACAACATAAAGGCGGGAGGTTTGTCGGGCTCACGGTTTCGGGGACTTGGTCCACGGCTGGCTGCTCCAAGGCAGGGATGTTGGGGCAGAAGGGCGTGGCGGGGAAAGCTGCCCCCTCCCTGGCGTCCGGAAGCGGAGCAGGAAGGAGACCCCTCCATGGCACGGCCCAGGGACCTCCTGCAGCCAGCACCTCTCACCAGCACCCTGGGATGTGCACACCCCTGCACGGCTCATACATGTGTCCCCGTGAGCCCCGCACCTCCCACGGGTCACTCATCCAGGCATGCGGACCGTGAAGGAGACCCGTCACAGTCGGTGAGTCTTGGCCGGCTGGGCTCCCAGGATCCGCCGGAGGAGGCCAAGGCAGCAGACCTCAGGCTCATGCAGGAGGATGCGGCTTTCACTGAGCAGACTCCTGAGGACTCGCACCACAGCTGGGAACAACAGGTCTGGGCAGAGCCCGAGGTCAGGGCCTCAGTCAAAGCCGCCTCTCCTGGAGGAGCTGGCAGGAGGGGCCCAGGCAGCAGGAGTCAGCCCCGCCTCCCTCCGCAGCCCAGACTCCCGCTCCTTTGAAGGACAAAGCTGTCTCTGCTTCCCTGGAGGACACTTGCTGGTGCTCATGGTCTGGCTTTCAATGCGGGATTTCCATGAAAAGAAAAGAAAACAAGGACAGCAGCTGGACCACAGCCCCTGAGGCCAGAGGGCACCTCGGGAAGATTTCTAGGACAACTCCACGCTGCTGGGGCTGCCGACCAGGGTGGGCCTGCTGTCCACAGGGTCCTGGGGTCCCCGGTGACACATGAACAGCGGAGCCACAGTCGTGTCCTGGACGCCGCACTGCTGCTCGCCGGGCTTCTCCTGATCTGACCGGGGCAGGAGAGGAGGAGAGGAGAGGAGAGTCACGGCTGACAGGCGGAACCCAGCTGCAGGACACGCCAGGCTTACAGTGACGGCGAAGGAGAGGAGGCCTGCCGAGAGGCAAGAAGAGGAGGAAAAAGAACACGCTCCTAAGAGGTATTTAATGCCCTACAATTATATGTTCACTGTCATCCTTTTTGATCAAAGATAGCCAAGTTAATGTTTTCTACAACTCTGTCTCACTAGATGTGGCCTGATTGCTTGCACAACTGCGGCCAGAACGGCGACTGATGCCTTGTTTGGTTCTGCTTGGCTGGGACTTGCCCTGTGGAATCCCAGGCCAGGCGGTTCAAGCCCCATGAGGCTGGGGCCAGGCCAAGGACTCACTGTGGGACCCAAAGACTCGGGTGAATTCCTTTCTTCCAGGCTCCCAGACCTGCCTGGAGTTGGCCTTCGTCACCCCACGGCAGAGCCCTGTACGCTCACAGCCAGGCAGGCTTCTCCCTGCACCCAGAGGCCACCCGCGCCACCAGGGCAGCCTGGGTTCCCCTGACTGCCGTCACCTCGATTGCATGGGATCGTTTGGTCCAAGCTCTGGTGACTGAATAGTCGCATCTTTGTCACTGTGACACACAACGCAGAAGGAGGAAGGGTTTATTTCTAGCTCACAGCTTCAGAACGGCAGACCCCTCACGGCCAGGCAGGCTTCTCCCTGCACCCAGAGGCCACCCGCGCCACCAGGGCAGCCTGGGTTCCCCTGACTGCCGTCACCTCGATTGCATGGGATCGTTTGGTCCAAGCTCTGGTGACTGGTGACT